TACATATGTACATATATATATATGTGTGTGTGTACGTATGTATGTACTATGTTGTGTGTATTTGTGCACGAGTTAACGTTTGCAAGATATACCTTTCATCATCCGTAAAGTACCATGCCAGCGCGAGAGTGGTGGTATTCCCGAAGAAAGAGGACAACCGACTGCGATCGAATTTCTCACATTGCTCATCGTATAGTCCAGTACCCGGAATTCGCTCGCCATCGCGCACTATGTACGGCCCTTCAATGGATTTGGATCAGATCACTGATTAATTAAATGATATAAAAGAAGACCATTTGGTAGCGTTCATGGAGAGAACATCACCTAAGAAAACCTTCATCACCTAGCACGGATATGCGACATACTGAAGCCTAAAAATGACAACGCAAGATTTAACACAAACAGAGCCGAAGTGAGCCCTAAAAATCGGAGCGAGCACATGTGCCAACCTTTGGGGTTGTCAAGATTGGGCCAGTAGTACGGCGCGGGTGTGTAGTAGTCGTGCTTGTCGCCACTGGGAGGGGTCTCCAGTTTATCCGTAACGGAGAAAGGTTTCAGCGTCAGCGCTATATCGGCCATGTCGATTAGCTTGTCGATGAGTTCGGTCAGCGGCTTAGACGACTTTTTTGTGTACGCGCGTTTTTCTATTTTTAGAATGTCCTCCTCGAAAGTTAGCAGATCCTGCCCCGAAAAAAGCAGCAAGGACTTAGATACGTATGTATCCAGTATAAACAGTTGATTGTGCAACAAAAAGTTTGTCCTGGTATCCTATTGGGTAACGGACTACACCAGCGATCAGATGACATAGATATGGCTGCGGTGCAATAGGATACAGAAGAAATTCTAGTAGGTGTTCAACGGGTCCCTCACTTTTCTGTACACACAGCACGCAGAAAAACGTACTCTAATGTGCACCAGCAAGTAGGAAAACGTATTGTGATGCGCACCACCACGCAGGCAAACGCACTCGCACGTAGAAAAACGTACTCCGACGTGCACCAGCAAGTAGGAAAACATACTGTGATGCACACCACCACGCAGGCAAACGCACTTGCACGTAGACAAACGTACTCCGACGTGTACAAGTACAGTCCGCTGTAATTCCGAAAAGTGTACCACAGAGAATATGGATGAACGCGAGATCAAACGTGCAAGGTGCAAACGGGTCCAAAAAGTTCAGCAATGGTTGCGCATCCACATCTTCTATTGGTCGACTGCTGTGGCACGGTACACCGCTTCTAGTCTAAAGTGTATATGAATACTCACACGGCAGGTGGCAGGTGATCCAAATGGCTCACTTTCCGATACCGTAGCATATAGGGTACCAGCCATACCATTGATTCGGAAATAGGTGCAGGTGGGCGCTACAAGTGTCCAAATATATAACGCACACTTTACACACTACATACCTTTTGATCAAAGGCCACGGTTTATATATCACGCACACTTTACACACTACATACCTTTTGATCAAAGGCCACGGTTTATACATCACGCACACTTTACACACTACATACCCTTTGATCAAAGGCCACGGTTTATATATCACGCACACCTTACACACTACATACCTTTTGATCAAAGCCCACGGTTTTGCGCATAATGTTGACCTCAAACGTTGCAATGAGCGCGTTAATTGATTTGTATTTGATTACGTCTTCGGGAACTTCCTTGCGGAGATGTGCTACCGCTTCTTTCAGCTTAGCAGGTATGGTCACAAGACCTATCAGAATAGAAGCGCAAGCGTAAGCCAAGAAGCACTACAATCAGGGTCAGAGAATTGGGGTCGAAGTGGTTTTAGTATTTGAATATCATACTTTTTTTTCGTTGGAGATTGAAATGGACATGCACATGTGCCTATATCCATTGTAGCTATACAGATGCGAGGCGCACTCGGAAAACTCTTGAATTTGAACAGGAGAAACGATGATTTACAACCTACGGGACTTCTTTCTCTATGTTCTCTAGATCTCTGAATCCACTCAGGCAAAATCTGTGAACGAAGACAGATCCCAAGCCAACCGGTTGGCTGCGTGGACTCCAACGCTAGAAATGATACACGACTGCACATGTTGTGTACCAATGCGAATGTACAAACGTTGCGACCAGTACTGCAAGGAAGGAGTCGATTTTCTCGTAGTGGGATTTCTCCTTTGGGAGGATCCCCTCGTACTTCAAATACTACCAGCCATGATACCAATAGCAAGCCTGCCTAGTGATTTGACTTCTAGCTACGTGCAAACACATGTCAGAGTACAACGAGTGACATACCAGATTCTGTCGACCAGAATAGTCACCAAACACATATACATGTAAGTGAAGGAATACACATATACTTAAGAGTCACTACACTATAGAAGTGGTACCTTGGCTTTCTTCTTCACTGACAGGCCGGGCGATATCATCGAGCGGGAGGCTCGCTTTCTTAGTATCCGCACCGACGGTATGAATTAGTTCGCCCACACCATTATCCCAGAAGTACCGAACATCGGGGTTGTATTGCGTGCGAGAACTCCTCCTGAACATTACATGTTTGGGAGGCTGGATGGTGTGCAGATAAGTGAGCCGGTAGACGAGCGAAGATATTTAGCGTATAGTGCAATGCGGTACTAAGTATATCTGCGGATGCGCGTGAAAGTGTACACAGACAAGTCCACGATTGCATCAGACAGCGGTTAATTTAGTACGGTAATATACAACTCTTGTGCACATCTCAATACAATATAGCAATCAGTTGGTCTGGCAAGTTGGTAGGTAGCATCCGGGCGACTACTGAACATTCTCTGGCTCAAACGAACTATTCTCGCTATCCCAAACCACTCGATCGCAGCGCACTACGACGCGTAACCATACGTACACAGCCAGATCCACACGTTCTGTTCGGGAGGCCACTTTTCACTCACCTGCACAGACGCACTTGGCTTCTGCAATTTCATAGCTTTCTGCGATCCTCTCTGTTTGGCATCTATCTCCTCCTCACCCTCGCGCGTACCCTCCACCACAACATAGGCCACATGGTTTTTGGTCTTCAGTTTTTCAGCCTCCCGCAGAATGGTCTGGGCTGTGTCTTGATCCAAAAAGATATTGAGCGGCACAGGCAACACCCAATCCGCCTTGGAGGGCGGTCGTACTTGTTCCTTCAACAGATCCACAAACTCAGAACCTGGCTCTGTTTTGCAAGCGATATTTAAGCGTGATACCCATCAGCATTAGTATACTTGCATTCCCATGCTGCAAAGTTTGAGTTCACTTCGGGTGCTCGATGTGAATCAAACGTTTTTGCTGTGCTGCAGGTGAACTTTAAAATTGGTCCAGATCAAAGTCAGAGTGCTCATCACAGCATAATAGTGAAGATACCGTAACTCAGCCGCAATCCTCAGCGGACAGGTGAAGTGTTAGTGCACTTTCCTCCGCCGTCAGCTTACACTCCAGATATAAACCATGAGACTATGTGTCCTCGAATGCTCGACATGTACTATGTTTGCCGTGCAGTTTAACCCAGATACCAAAAGGAATGAACACAGTTCATCGGAATTGACGGATAAGTACGAACCGACCTGACACAATGCCGCTGAGACAAAAATATTTAGCTTGAATCGAGATATACACCACAATATGCACTTGTATATATACACTTATACTTGAAATGGTACAAATCCACATTTCAAGCCCATCGGCAGACTATGAAATCTTCAACACACAAACACAAACACACAAACACACACACATATATATAAATATTAT